GGAGCCGGGGTTCACGGAGAGGAGGAGGGATTCGAGGGCTTCGACGTCGGAGGGGAACGTTTTGGGGGCTGAGAGGGGGAGGAGGAGGAGGAGGAGGAGAGAGAGGGACGCCAACGCCATGGATTTTTTCAGTGGGAGCGAGCGAGCGAGAGTGCTCTGGGGGTGGTCACATGATGATGGGGATGGGGGAAAATGATATACAAAAAAAAAAGTTTAGTATTTGCCACTTAAAACGTACGGGACTACTAGTCCCGTACGTTTTGTTAACACAAAATTAGTTAACTTTAAACATACGGGACTAGTAGTCCCGTATGTTTCCTGAACCATTTTTCAAAATCGACCTCTTTTCCCAAAAAACGGTCTATTTTGCTAATTACTTTCAAAAACGGTCTATTTCGCTAATTATTTTGTAAAAACGGTCTATTTTGCAAATTTTCCCCTTTAGTATTCATTATATATTTAATATCCATAAAGTTGCTGTAGCTAGTTCTGTACAATTATTAACCATAGCAAGAGTAGCTTATAAAATTGCAACTGTATGAAGTAGGAAATATACTTAAAAGGAGTTAAGAATACCATCTAAAAATGACTTTTTTAACATATTATATATCAAGTAACTCAGTTAAATCTACATTCTGCACCAATTAAATCTTATGATTCCAACTAAAGTATAGTGCCCGCTTGTGTCCCGAACCCAAAATATCTAAGTTTTTGGTTGGTGTACAAGACATGTTGGACATATGTATGGGAGCCATAGAAAGTTTTGTGTTTTATGTGTTTGTGTTCATTTAGCTTTAAGGACAATTCTGACTCTTCTATTGTCGTACTACTGTTATACGAGTAAAGAAATATGATCATACAAGTAAAATATGATCATACAAGTAAAATATGGTTTCTTGCATTATTTACTCTTTTGCATTGGCATATTGGCATTGTTTTGAATATCCCTAATGTATCGCCCGATATATCCTTTATAAAGGCTTGCCATAAAACGATGGGTTCTCAATATCCTTTACCGCTTTTTGGCAAATTTTGAGCGATATATCCCTGACATAGCTGATATATTGGCTGATATGTCCTTTTTATAGAGGCTTTTCGCAGAACAATATAATTCTATAAAATTTCTTTAATGTTTTTTAGCAGAAATACCCTATGAAGTTATTTAGCAAATTCTAGAGGCTCTTTTCCCTAAGGGTGTGTTTGGATTTCAATGGGGTTAAGGGAAGTTAAGGGAAACTAGGTGAGAGTAGAGGCTCTTTTCCCTAAGGGTGTGTTTGGATTTCAATGGGGTTAAGGGAAGTTAAGGAAAACTAGGTGAGAGAAGGGAAGGGAATGGAAGGGAGTTCCCTTCCCCTTGGTTACACCCCAATTCGGAGGGTAACAAATTTTATACTATTAGGGGGTGAACCAAGGGGAATTAGGGTGAATAACTTCACCTCCTAAATGTTCCCAAACAAGGTGAATGGTTCCCTTAATTTCCCTTCTCCCTTATTCCCCTCAATTCAAACTAGCCCTAAGTAAGCTTCTACAATTGGTCAGTGATCTTAAATACATAATTATTTATATTTTTATATGCTTGGATTTTATTTTTATATTTTTATGTGCTTGGATTTTATTAAGTATTTTTAGATTTCGTTTAGGACATTGTACTATATATGCACCTCATCCGATGTGGCCCTCTGATATTTACTACATATCCCCGATATTTCCCTGATAACTGCAATCCGATATGGATTTTGGCTGTTAGATATTTTCCCTATATCCAATATTTAAAACCTTTCATACTGGAAGTTTGTGTTATAGACCAACTGGTGACTAGTAATTGGAATCTGTAGTTACAAATTACTATGAAACTGGAATATTGGAATTTAAAGCTTTATATTCTATTATGCGTAAGATACTAAGATTATTGGAAAAAAATAGTATCTTTCTTGTATGTTGTTAATAATTCTACATGATCCTAAACTTTTCATTTTTTTTAAAATTTGTTCTGTAGTCAGGAAATCAGCATGCAAGTCTGAACTTCCGTGCAATTAATTATTCTGGAGAGGTTTATTTGAATGGACACAAGGAGATTCTTCCCAAGGGAATGTTCCGAAGGCACTCACTTGATGTCACTGACATCCTCCATCCTGATGGGAAAAATTTGCTTGCTGTCCTTATTTATCCTCCTGATCATCCTGGAAAAATCCCACCTGAGGGAGGTCAAGGTGGTGACCATGAGGTATATTTTATCTTCATTCTCATTTCCTTTTTTATATTCTTCCACAAATTATGATTGTAATACATGATATGAGGAATCCCACGCAATAAATCCTTAATATTGGTGTTGGTTTCCCCAAATTAGTGCTCTATGACATTTGCCATAACTCATGTCATGTGGAAAATAATTACTGCTGATGCACACCTGTGATCTTTGTTTAATTATAACTAGGCTTGGATACTTACACAATTCTGATATATGGTGTTTAGGCTGATGATAGAAAATGCATACTTCTAGCGTTTGCCTTGTTGCAAAGCCTTCATTCATTTCAAATGACACAGGAAAATCCTTGTTTCCACTGTTAGATGGGAAGAAAATTGATGTAGCACTGATTAGACATGAACGTCCAAAGACATAGAAAGGAAAAAAGAACTAATGACGTCAAGTAATTGTATCTCGATCAAGGGCGTGGTGGTTTATATATTAAATATATCAATTATCTTCAAGTCTGCAGTTCAATGCAGACAAACTCCCTCAAGTTAGTTTGGAAACTTGCTTTTGAACTTTAGTTTCCATTTGCTTTCTGGTATTCCATTTCCAGCAGTGGTGGGGTGCCACACGATGGTTCTACTCTTTTAGCTTTAGTATATCCATCTCTGCAAGATAGATTTTAATAATTGAGCAGCCTTTCAAATATCTTTGTTATGAAAAATAGAGCATCGTGTGTACTAATACCTTACGGCTAACTTCAGTTACTAGCAGAGTAAGAATGTGCAATTCACTGCCAGTACTCAAACATGGAAATAATTTATTTGGTATGTTACATAACTATGTATTTTCCCTCTGATTTATCAAATTACTGATGAAGTTTATGCACATTTCCCTCATTATGGAGCTTACAAGCACCTCTTTTTATCTATGCAAGTACATCTCTGCTCACTGAAGATAAGTATTATTAGAAAAAGATATAAATTCTGCACCAAAACTCTGTTTATGACATTTCTATCTTTAATTCTGACAATTTCTTATCTGATCGGAATAGATTGGGAAAGATGTTGCAACACAGTATGTTGAAGGCTGGGACTGGATGGCTCCTATAAGGTAGGCTCTAGATATTGGTAATAGAGACTTAATGTATACTGCAATTTCTAAGAGTGCCAAAAGTTGTTTTACTTCTCAGGCTCCAGTGTGCTAATGTAACAGACTCTGCATCTCATCTTTCTTATGTAGATTCCTGCAACATCTACGTAATTCATGGATATCAAATTTATGTTGTCATTTCAACAACTAATTAAGTGGCTTAATATGCAATTTTTTGTCTCGGTAAAATAGGAGTTCAATGTTTGCAACAAATAATGTTAAACAGAGTTTCAGAATTTGGGGTACAGAGTCACTAGAGAATATCTCCTTATTCAGTGGCGGAGGCAGTGCAATAAATTGTAAATAGATAAAACATAATTGTAACCTCAATTAGACCAAAGATTAAATATAACCGTTAGCAGATCAGCTAAAATAGACCTTTGATTCACTAGTTACCTATTCAAAAATATCTAGAACAAATGAAGTCATAGAAGTTTGGCCTATTTTTACCAAAATCGTCCTACTCTTGTTCTTTTGTTAGTCACAGCCTCCTCTAGGAGATTCTTTATTGTCTTTCTCAATACATGATGGCAACAAAAGTGCGAGGGATTTGATTCAGGATTTGGATACTCTCTATTATAAAAAGGTAGCAAGAGATGACTACTTTTAATTCAACCGTGTTTAATCAGTGGCTGTGATTTATCTTTTTGAACATAAAATAAGAACGAGTGCAATTCATAAGCATGATAATTGATAAGTATTACATTTTGAATGAATGACAATTGTTTACAACCCTATACTCGTGCATTTAATATTCAACGGTTTGCATTATAAGTAGTGGTCTCTCACTGTTTTTTTTTGGTAGTGGATAGGATCCAAATTCTTTGATTAGAAATTAGGATGAGAGTTGTGTTTAATTAATAAGTATTTAGGTCTAGTTAAACTCTAACTGAAATTATTTAAAAATCAATTCTATTTAATTAAAATACATGGCAAGAATATAAATATATTAATTTATTTAAATTTAAATTGGTCTTTGAAAATGTAAAATAACTTTAGTAGTAATGTGTTTGAAATATTGACTAGGGGCAATAATAAAGCTAGGTGTCAAAAGTAAATATTAGATATTTGATGGTTATATTTCATAAAATATTTTGAGTGGGGGCATTTGCCCACACTCAGCTCTTAGTGGCTCCGCCACTGTCCGTGGTCATTCTTGTGTCCATGCTTTTTGATGTAAAACGAAACAGGGGGTCTATCAGAATCAGCGATTTAATTCGAACAACGCAACGTTTCGCCAAAACACATGATATTCGGTAGGAAATTAATTAAAGCAGTTAATGTGACAGATGGATTTTAATAAGAATTTGCAACAATACTCATGAACAGTTCCAATCTCAAATATTTTAATCGCAATATTAATCATCATTTTGCAAGTTCTATATTCAATATCAAAATTAATCAGTCACATGTTCAGTTCCTCTCGACTCACAATTATACTCTAAGCAGTAAATATAAGATAATAGTTTAGAGATGATATACTCATGCATTTAGCTAAATAACTGAGATTAACAGAAAATACCGAGTCAAGAGAAAACGAAACCTTCAGACTTAACCCAACTGAAATCAAATCGGGTCTGTGCTTCTCCACAAGTCTGTATTGAATAACAGCATGTTGTTTGCTGCAAGAGGGATGATCTGTAGGGATATCTGCAACTTTCCTTTCTCGCCCAAAAAGATAACAACTCTGACGATGCACATAAAGGGGATCATTCAGCACTGCTCCAGCCTTAAAAACATACAACCGCCATCTTGTATCAGATTTTCGAGCACCTGCAGGTCCATTAACTAGGAGTGTGACACCTCGAACACGATTAGTCTCCTCAGCAAGCTTGCCAGAAAGTTCGAATGGTGGTTTTTGCTTATCTTTTCCTTAGCTTCGAGGGATTCTTCAGGGCAGGGGGATGTCGGCGCTGTTTGAAAACACAGGGGAGCAAGGGAGGGGGTGGTGCTCGTGGAGGAGAAGGAGAAACAGGGGTTTGGCGGTGGTTTATTGCATGTAGAGGAGAGATGGAGGGAGGTGACTGTGGTTGTCAGAGGTTGAAGGAGGAGAACGAGTTGGGTGGGTGGTTGATTTGTTTATGTGGGGAAGAAAAAAAAAATGACGGCTGGAAGAAGAAACAAATTAAGCTTAGGGTTTCACACCCATGGTTTCACACCAAATAAGCTAACAATTCATTTCAATTATTCAAATCATCCCCTTCACCTGATTACATTATACCCTTAAATAGAGAAGTTACAGATTTTCCAAAATCTCACAAAATCTCTCACAATTAATTAGATCCCTCAAATCACTCTCTTGCTAAAACTGAATAACTACTAAATTAAACAACAATTCAAAATTTAAAATTCAAATTTGAAAAACTAAACTAATATGGGAGATTCCAAATTCTTGTTCTCATCACTTTTGCTATACGCATGTGTCATCATAGTGATTCTTAGTTTCATTTGTCTATGTTGGTTCTTGGCTATTCTGCTGAATGGTGATATTTTTCTCAATGCTGCAGGGACAGGAACACTGGTATCTGGGATGAAGTATCAATATCTATTACTGGAGTGAGTTTATTCATTTCTCTTTCTCTGTTTTCTAAATGACACAACAAGCTTTAAAAGAAGGAAAATTATCAACTCTAAACAGCAATTAGTCATATTGATCGATGTTAATATGCTGCAGAATATTGCAGTAAACTGCAGTACCCTGCGAAATGCAGAAACTCTACTACTTGAGTTTTCTATTATATGAAAATATGATTCCGGAGACCCAGTTGTATGCTTGTATAATGCATGTCTAATGTTATCCTGAAATGTCTTTTTATTGGCAACAAGATATTTTCTTTATGGCATTTCTTTTATAGCTGAACTAACATCTTAATACTATGTGAAGTTATTTATGTAGTAATTAATACTAGGTGAATATGAGTAAGTAAATACTAGGTGAATATGTAGTGCTTATCACCAGTGGTACCTCCTTTCCAATGCAGCCTGTGAAGATTATTGATCCGCACCTGGTTTCATCATTTTTTGATGGTTTTAAGAGGGCATACTTGCATACTACTGTTGAATTGGAAAACGAAAGTTCGTGGGCTGCAGAGTGTTCACTGAACCTCCAGGTGACAACAGAGGTAGAAGGAAATATTTGCTTGATTGAACACCATCAGACTTATGCCGTTTCAGTTCCTCCTGGAAAAGTTATTCAGTACACTGTTCCTCCAGTGAGTGCTTTTAGTATCTTGTACAACTTGTTGCTTTGATTGTTATTTCATCACATTATTATTGCTGTTAAGTAGAGGTTGTCATCAATATAAAGGAAGTATGGTAATGCTAACATCTTCATAGTTGGATGGCATTTTATGATGTGATAAATAAGCCAGGGGATGGCCTGCTGATAGATGACTATCATATACTTAGCCTTATATGAGATTGGCTTATATTGGTGGATGGTAGATGGACTCTGAGGATGTTCGTTAGGCTGGAAGAAAACATGAACCTGAACATGTTAGAAAATTTTGAATTCAGATGTTTTTTCTGCAATATAAAACAGATAATACTTCAGTTAGTACAGTGTTTTACTTTTCTACAAGGCTAAATGGCACTTAAATATCACAAAGTTTTCCCGTTTTGGCACTTATGTACCATGAGTTTTTTTTTTTTTTTGGCAAATAAATACCATAAGTTGTTTAAATTTGACACATTGGTATCCTTAATCATGAAAACGTGAAAATTTTCACCTGAATGTTCCTATATGACACTAACATGTTATTTTATAATTTTCTAACCATATTTGCCTGATTTCGTGGACCCCCCTTGAATCATTGTACAGTTCATGCGAACCGATTCCTGGTACATTGGTGAACTGATTCCCTCCGATACACAAATTGGTTCCCCAAAATTGGCATACCATTTATAAGTATGCATGGCGCAAAGACCCTTTATGTGCCCATACGCTAGATAGAATGCAATATGTGCAATTAAGTGAAAGGAGGCATATAATAGAATACATGAGCCAATGAATTTACTGTAACTAAATACTTATATTAATAAAAAAATAAAACGTGAATTGAAACCATGACCACAACACAAATTATGTGGAAAAAAACCAGAACAAAGCAACAAACTCCATAAAAAAAGGTATTTAAGTAATTTGCAAGAAACTATACTGAAATGTATAATTAGCTTTCTAGTTCCTACTTGTCTACTATATACTTTGGAAAACTTTAAGCGCACCAAAAAAATCTACTACGTACTACTAACCAACTTGCATACTGAATCAAGCTACCCCTTATCGAATCCAATTTTTCTAAGTGGTGAATTGTGTACCGGAATTCGTACCATGACCTACTACGTACCATGTATTGTGTAACTATGTTTCTAACCGTTAATATTTGTTAAATCTATCATTAAACATATCCCAACTCTATTTTAAAGTAGAATTAAGATAAGTTAAAAAAATTGGTACATCTAAAAATAAATTTCACAAATATTAATAGTTAAAGAGCTCTAAAATTAGCATGTAAGTAGTGTAGACAAACATTCGGTTGAAAATATTCACATTTGCATGATTGAAGTTAGTAACGTGCTAATGTTAAACAACTTATGGTTTTTCCCCCGTAAAAAAACAACTCATGGTATATAGGTGATAAAACGGGGAAAATTTGTGGTATTTTAAGTGCCATTCAGCTTATCTACAATGATATCTCAAAATATCATGTATATTTCTATGTGTATATGCTACTCTCTTTTCCTCCTTTTCCTTTCTGTACATACAACCGCCATCTTGTATCAGATTTTCGAGCACCTGCAGGTCCATTAACTAGGAGTGTGACACCTCGAACACGATTAGTCTCCTCAGCAAGCTTGCCAGAAAGTTCGAATGGTGGTTTTTGCTTATCTTTTCCTTAGCTTCGAGGGATTCTTCAGGGCAGGGGGATGTCGGCGCTGTTTGAAAACACAGGGGAGCAAGGGAGGGGGTGGTGCTCGTGGAGGAGAAGGAGAAACAGGGGTTTGGCGGTGGTTTATTGCATGTAGAGGAGAGATGGAGGGAGGTGACTGTGGTTGTCAGAGGTTGAAGGAGGAGAACGAGTTGGGTGGGTGGTTGATTTGTTTATGTGGGGAAGAAAAAAAAAATGACGGCTGGAAGAAGAAACAAATTAAGCTTAGGGTTTCACACTCATGGTTTCACACCAAATAAGCTAACAATTCATTTCAATTATTCAAATCATCCCCTTCACCTGATTACATTATACCCTTAAATAGAGAAGTTACAGATTTTCCAAAATCTCACAAAATCTCTCACAATTAATTAGATCCCTCAAATCACTCTCTTGCTAAAACTGAATAACTACTAAATTAAACAACAATTCAAAATTTAAAATTCAAATTTGAAAAACTAAACTAATATGGGAGATTCCAAATTCTTGTTCTCATCACTTTTGCTATACGCATGTGTCATCATAGTGATTCTTAGTTTCATTTGTCTATGTTGGTTCTTGGCTATTCTGCTGAATGGTGATATTTTTCTCAATGCTGCAGGGACAGGAACACTGGTATCTGGGATGAAGTATCAATATCTATTACTGGAGTGAGTTTATTCATTTCTCTTTCTCTGTTTTCTAAATGACACAACAAGCTTTAAAAGAAGGAAAATTATCAACTCTAAACAGCAATTAGTCATATTGATCGATGTTAATATGCTGCAGAATATTGCAGTAAACTGCAGTACCCTGCGAAATGCAGAAACTCTACTACTTGAGTTTTCTATTATATGAAAATATGATTCCGGAGACCCAGTTGTATGCTTGTATAATGCATGTCTAATGTTATCCTGAAATGTCTTTTTATTGGCAACAAGATATTTTCTTTATGGCATTTCTTTTATAGCTGAACTAACATCTTAATACTATGTGAAGTTATTTATGTAGTAATTAATACTAGGTGAATATGAGTAAGTAAATACTAGGTGAATATGTAGTGCTTATCACCAGTGGTACCTCCTTTCCAATGCAGCCTGTGAAGATTATTGATCCGCACCTGGTTTCATCATTTTTTGATGGTTTTAAGAGGGCATACTTGCATACTACTGTTGAATTGGAAAACGAAAGTTCGTGGGCTGCAGAGTGTTCACTGAACCTCCAGGTGACAACAGAGGTAGAAGGAAATATTTGCTTGATTGAACACCATCAGACTTATGCCGTTTCAGTTCCTCCTGGAAAAGTTATTCAGTACACTGTTCCTCCAGTGAGTGCTTTTAGTATCTTGTACAACTTGTTGCTTTGATTGTTATTTCATCACATTATTATTGCTGTTAAGTAGAGGTTGTCATCAATATAAAGGAAGTATGGTAATGCTAACATCTTCATAGTTGGATGGCATTTTATGATGTGATAAATAAGCCAGGGGATGGCCTGCTGATAGATGACTATCATATACTTAGCCTTATATGAGATTGGCTTATATTGGTGGATGGTAGATGGACTCTGAGGATGTTCGTTAGGCTGGAAGAAAACATGAACCTGAACATGTTAGAAAATTTTGAATTCAGATGTTTTTTCTGCAATATAAAACAGATAATACTTCAGTTAGTACAGTGTTTTACTTTTCTACAAGGCTAAATGGCACTTAAATATCACAAAGTTTTCCCGTTTTGGCACTTATGTACCATGAGTTTTTTTTTTTTTTTGGCAAATAAATACCATAAGTTGTTTAAATTTGACACATTGGTATCCTTAATCATGAAAACGTGAAAATTTTCACCTGAATGTTCCTATATGACACTAACATGTTATTTTATAATTTTCTAACCATATTTGCCTGATTTCGTGGACCCCCCTTGAATCATTGTACAGTTCATGCGAACCGATTCCTGGTACATTGGTGAACTGATTCCCTCCGATACACAAATTGGTTCCCCAAAATTGGCATACCATTTATAAGTATGCATGGCGCAAAGACCCTTTATGTGCCCATACGCTAGATAGAATGCAATATGTGCAATTAAGTGAAAGGAGGCATATAATAGAATACATGAGCCAATGAATTTACTGTAACTAAATACTTATATTAATAAAAAAATAAAACGTGAATTGAAACCATGACCACAACACAAATTATGTGGAAAAAAACCAGAACAAAGCAACAAACTCCATAAAAAAAGGTATTTAAGTAATTTGCAAGAAACTATACTGAAATGTATAATTAGCTTTCTAGTTCCTACTTGTCTACTATATACTTTGGAAAACTTTAAGCGCACCAAAAAAATCTACTACGTACTACTAACCAACTTGCATACTGAATCAAGCTACCCCTTATCGAATCCAATTTTTCTAAGTGGTGAATTGTGTACCGGAATTCGTACCATGACCTACTACGTACCATGTATTGTGTAACTATGTTTCTAACCGTTAATATTTGTTAAATCTATCATTAAACATATCCCAACTCTATTTTAAAGTAGAATTAAGATAAGTTAAAAAAATTGGTACATCTAAAAATAAATTTCACAAATATTAATAGTTAAAGAGCTCTAAAATTAGCATGTAAGTAGTGTAGACAAACATTCGGTTGAAAATATTCACATTTGCATGATTGAAGTTAGTAACGTGCTAATGTTAAACAACTTATGGTTTTTCCCCCGTAAAAAAACAACTCATGGTATATAGGTGATAAAACGGGGAAAATTTGTGGTATTTTAAGTGCCATTCAGCTTATCTACAATGATATCTCAAAATATCATGTATATTTCTATGTGTATATGCTACTCTCTTTTCCTCCTTTTCCTTTCTGTTTGGTTCCTTTGAGAAGCGAATTATACATTGTTCAGATCTGACACTAGATAAGCTATTTGACAGCTCTTCTTTTACAAACCCGTGTTATGGTGGCCGAATGGTATGGGTAAGCAGTCTCTATATAATGTCGAGATTTCTATTGATGTAAAAGGATTTGGGGAATCCGATTCATGGAATCATCAATTTGGATTCCGCAAGATAGAGAACACAATCGATGAGGCGACTGGTGGAAGGTATCAAGGTTTTTACAGTTCCTTAGGTTATTGTTTTCATACTAATTAGAACACATGTTTAAATACATCAGACTATTCAAGGTGAACGGCGAACGAGTTTTCATTCGCGGGGGAAACTGGATATTGTCGGATGGACTATTGCGGCTTTCGGAGAAACGATACATGTCAGACATAAAATTCCATGCAGATATGAACTTTAACATGATCCGGTGCTGGGGTGGAGGACTGTCAGAGAGACCAGAATTCTACCATTTCTGTGATCTGTATGGTTTATTGGTAAGGATAAGTAGTAATTTTCTTTTTGTTCTTAAATGTTTGTAAGCTTTTGGTAAATTGTCCGCGAGGCATGTCAGCTATAGACTGTAGCATCTTCCTGTTTACTAAGACATGTATAAATATGTAGCTTATGGCAGTTTTAGGAGAGTCTGACATGTTTCTCTCCTTGGATCTTGATGTTAACTTACCTACAGCCCAAATACTAGGTTTACCCTCTTTTATCATGAAGAAAAATTTACCTGTGGCTCAGCCATTAGGTGCACAGGGCTACGTAAATTCATTAAGCTACAGATCTCCTTTATCACATCCCTGAACTATTTCTGAATCGTTTCAACCTGTATAACATTTCACTCTTTTTCTTTCTGTGGTTTACTATTTAGTTTTGTTTTTAAATGAATGAGCTTTGTTCAGTTTAGATACTTTGCTTTTCTTCCTTTATAAGTTTCCTTTTTATGATATATGAGTAAATCTTATAGTCAATTTATCTTCAAGGTTGTTCCTTGTTTCCCTATTTACTTTGTGACCTCTGTTCACATTGTGAAGTAAATTTGAATACCTTAGTTGCATGGAATAGGTGCCGAAGTTTATGATCTTAACTGTTTCTCTTTATTAGTATAGCTGAAAAGATTGGGTTACCCAGTTATCAGTGGGGTGCCAGTTGTTTGGGCATGTTTCCTTGGCTCAGAATTCGGGACCAACTTGTAAGGCTAGTGTCAAGCTTGGGTATCAGTAATATAGTCAATCTTGTCAGGGACCCCTGTACGTCACAGCCAACTTTATTCTGATTGGGAAAGGCTTGCATGGTGCATATAATGGTCTTTATTTCTATTTTAAAAATTTGAGCAGCTTTTGCATGGATGGTGTTTGTTTCTAGCTGTTTGAGGTTTCTCTTTAATGCTCTTACTTCATCTACTTCTTTTTGTCAAGTTCACCGTTATTTAAGTCCAGAACTTCCACTGATAGTTCTGATAATGTAGATGTCCACATGCTCTGCAGGTTTGGCAGGAGTTCTGTATAACTGGTGATGTTGATGGGCGCGGTGACCCAGTATCAAATCCTAATGGACCTTTGGACCATGACCTTTTCATGCTTTGTGCAAGGGACACTGTCAAACTCCTAAGGAACCATCCTAGTCTTGCTCTTTGGGTTGGTGGTAACGAGCAGACCCCACCACCAGATATCAACAATGCTCTCAAAAACGACCTGAAACTCCATCCTTTGTTCGGCAAACCTACTAATACAGAAGTTCATCTCCAAGAATCAACAGACCCAAGCCAATATCTTGATGGAACTCGTGTTTACATTCAAGGCTCCATGTGGGATGGGTTTGCAAATGGAAAAGGGGACTTTACTGATGGCCCTTATACTATACAAAACCCCGCAGACTTCTTTAAAGACGACTTCTACAAGTACGGGTTTAATCCAGAGGTTGGCTCTGTGGGGATGCCCGTTGCAGCAACAATTAGAGCTACGATGCCACCAGAAGGATGGAAGATTCCAGTGTTCAGTAAGCAGCCTGATGGGTACATAAAGGAAATCCCTAACCCAATATGGGAGTATCACAAATACATCCCGTATGCCGAGCCAGAAAAGAAAGTTCATGATCAGATCCTACTCTATGGCCAGCCTAAAAACCTTGATGATTTTTGTGAGAAGGTAAGCTACAAGAATGATAAACATTCATCCACTTCTATTTTATTCCTTTTTAACTTATTGTGCATATTTCTAGGCACAACTTGTTAACTACATTCAATATCGAGCCCTCCTGGAAGGTTGGACATCCCGAATGTGGACAAAATTTACAGGTGTCTTAATTTGGAAGACGCAGAACCCTTGGACTGGCCTTCGAGGTCAGTTCTATGATCATCTTCATGATCAAACTGCAGGCTTTTATGGTTGTCGCTCTGCTAATGAGCCCATTCATGTCCAACTTAATTTATCTACCAACTTAATCGAGGTAACATCGATATCTTGGTTGATGCATTTTATGTTACATGTGAAATTGAATTTTTTTTAAAACAGGTAGTAAATACTACAGCAAAGGAACTTTCAGATATAGCTATAGAAGTTTCAGTGTGGGACCTTGAGGGCATGTGTCCATACTATAAAGTCACTGAGAAGATCACTGTGCCACCAAAGAAGGTAGTGCAGATAATTGAGATGAATTATCCGAAAATGAAGAATGCAAAGCCTGTCTACTTTCTTCTCCTTAAACTGTTCAAGTCGTCCAATAAAGCAGTCCTATCTCGAAACTTTTACTGGCTGCATCTCCCTGGTTGTGATTACAAGCTCTTGGAGGCTTACCGCAAAAGAAAAGTTCCACTCAAGATTTCCTCTCAAGTTCTCATCACAGGTTCCACATACAAAATCCGAATGCATGTGTATAACACATCTAAGGAGTCCAAGAAACTAATAGCCTTGAACAACTATGAAACAGTTGAAAATGAAACTGTAGGATTTGAAGATCAAACAAGAAATCAATGTGGTAGTTTGTTTAAGAGATTCTTTACAGGCTCTTGTTCAGATAATGATGTGAAGAAAGTAGTTGAGACAGGTGGAACTGATATAGGAGTTGCTTTCTTCCTTCACCTCTCTGTTCATGCTGCCAAAAAAGTTGAGGGAACCATGGGAGAAGACACTAGAATTCTTCCAGTTCACTATTCTGATAACTATTTCTCACTTGTTCCTGGTGAAAAAATGACTGTCAACTTGACGTTTGAGGTTCCTCAGGGCGTTACTCCTCGTGTCACACTTGATGGCTGGAATTACCATGAGAAGCAGTTTGTTCTGTGAGCTGTCAACCGATTGAGGTTTGTTCTCTGACTCATTCTGCTGATATTAAAGTATTAAAGAGGTATGTTTTTTCAAGATCAAGAAAGGAAAAAAGAATGCAAAGAAGTAAAGAAGCATGTAAAAGTGTTTGAAAAAAAATAAAAAAGAGACTTGCAACCTGTTTGTAGTAAAATTGGGGCAAGGGAAACCAGCATAAAATGTTCTATAATGTGTGCGCTGGAAGGTAATAAGCAATGGTGTTGTGAGAAAAAAAAATTCTTGCTATTTTCTGGTTAATTGTTGCTCTATTAACTATTTTATTTCTATTGTCAATAAACGCGACTGGTAATAGATATGTGAGTTAGTTCATGTCTATGGCAGAGACATGCGCATATCTGTAGTAAAGAACTGGTGATGTTGAATAGCAATCTTGCTTCATATCTGCAGTACAAAGAATTGGTGATGCTAATGAGTTGTTCAGTGTTCCTATTCTGCAGTTATCTATCTTTTTTTAAAATAATTTTCCTACAGTTATCTATGTTTTCTTTACTGCCATTTGTGCCTCAAGCTTTGGTTTGTTTTTGAGCTTTTTTTCCTTGTACAGAATGTTATTTAGACATTACAAAATGTTGTTGAGCTTTTTTTCTATCGCATTTGCATCTCCATTTGGTTATCAGAGATGTTATTGTAGACATTAGAAGATGTGGGCCATGTGGTATTGTAATCAGCGTCTCCACTCTAATAAAAAAATGTTCTTGTAGACATCACGTATGTATCTTGATTTGCATCTCCATTTTACTGTCAAAGATGCTCTCGTATGCACTGGCTCATTTTCTGAATAGCATTGCCTTAATTTTTAGGGCAGCAACTTGCAGTGCTTACAGAGAACATTGCGTTGATCTATTCGTTAATACTTGGATGGTCAAAGAATTCCTATTAATACCTCGTTTCTTTAGTTTCTTTTATTCTCTTTTCCTTGTTGTTTCCTTTTATTTCTTTTTCAAAAAAAAAAAAATTCTTTCACTGTTTTCTTTATTTATTTTTCGGTTGTATCAATGATAATGTTATGCTTGGGGGCTTCATGCGTCTATGATGCCCTCCTTTGTTTTTTTTTTCTTTCTGTTTTTTTTTTTTTTTGGTGAAGTTCTTTCTGTTTTTTTTAACATTAAATATCCATATCTGCTAAATCCATAAACTTCCATTTTCCCTAGTTTGAACTTGATTTTGAGCAGAAAATTAGGCGATGCTTGACATTAATATGTTGAGTGAAAGTTTGCGGACTCTTTTTTTTAACACACAAACGGTAAAAAGAGATTAATCCACATTAATTGTCAACCATAGTATGACAAAGGGATAGGATAATTAGTATCTACTAGTTAAAATAAATTAAATCTTCAAACTAAGGGAGGGTTATTGGTTGGGACATGTTGAGGCTAAGTGGGATAATTGTTCCAATGGAACAATTTTATTCCTTTGGGGGGGTTAGTCACTTAGGGGGGGTTAGTCACCTAGAACTTAAAATTAGAACTGGAATAATCTGTGGGATAAAATTTTAAGGTGTTAGTTACATAGAACTAAACCTAGAACAAAATTTTAAGGTGTTAGTCACATTGAACTAAAACTAGAATAAAATTTTACAGTGTTAGTCAAACAGAACTTTAACAAAACTAGAATTGGGATAATTGTACAAAATTATCCCACTTTTTTATTTTTCTATACAAAAATGAGAGTTCTAGTCTCTCAAATTATTCCAAGTTTTAGCTTGGAACTATGTGGTAAAAAACTAGAACTCATATTTATTTTGTTATTTTTTATTTTTTTCTTTACTTATTTCCTATTATGGTTATCACCATCATTAGACCATCATCATAATAATAATTGTCAATATCTTATAGTCTAACCAAAAGTTATTTAATAGTAACGAACATTCTTGTAAGCAATTATCAATTGATAATAGTAAGTTTAAAATACATAAATAGTATTTATATCTTCAAAATGGATAAATATATACTTCATGATTATAAAAATTTATCCCACGTTATTTTATCAAAATATCCCGCTTTACAAAATTGTTCCTAGTTATCCCACTAAAATATCCCACTAGCGAAATATTATTCCACTTTAACAATTATCCCATTTTGCATGAAAATGTCCCAATTGACTAACACCCCCTTAGAACTTAAAATTAGAACTGGGATAATCTGTGGGATAAAATTTTAAGGTGTTAGTTACATAGAACTAAACCTAGAACAAAATTTTAAGGTGTTAGTCACATAGAACTAAAACTAGAATAAAATTTTACAGTGTTAGTCAAGTAGAACTTTAACAAAACTAGAATTAGGATAATGGTACAAAATTATCCCCTTTTTTTTATTTTTCTATACAAAAATGAGAGTTCTAGTCTCTTAAATTATTCCAAGTTTTAGCTTAGAACTAGGTGGTAAAAAACTAGAACTCATATTTATTGTTTATTTTTTCTTTTTCTTTTTCTTTTTTTTCTTTACTTATTTCCTATTACTAGTATGGTGCACGTGCGTTGCGCGTGTATTTAATTTTGCGTTTAATTTTTTTGATGATACTTTTTGTGTGTGTGAACTATCCTTTGAAATAGTCATGAGTAATTTCAAAAAACTCAAATACAAAAGAGCACCAATCATTTGATGTTTGCTAAGAAAATTTTTAGGGATAGCAAGTTTAATGGATAATCATGATGCTCATTTAAAGATATATAGGACATAAGTATGAAAGTAATTTTTATATCAAAATAAAAATAAATAAGCTTTTATGTGTGTTGCATGTGAATTGGAAGTCTAATACATTAAACTTATTATCGCAAGTAATGTCTATTAGCACATGTTTAAATAAGTATATAATCACATGTTTAAATAAGTATATAATCAGCTAAGATCACTACATCCACCATCAAAATCTAAACTTTTATGTGTGTTGCATGTGAATTGGAATGCACTGGAAGTCTAATACATTAAACTTATTATCGCAATTAATGTCTATTAGCACATGTTTAAATAAGTAACATACATAGTATATATTCACTTAACTTATGTATGTAATCAGCAAAGATTACTCCATCCACCATCAAAATTTACCCGAACAACAACAATAATATCTCATTATATCATTTCATTCATTTTTTATCTATATTTATTTTATTAGTTAGTTTTTTAATTACTCATTATTCATGAAGGATACGATGGATTAAATATTGAAAATTTCAAACTCAATCAAGTGCAAATTTTTGACTAAATTTAGTTGTCAAAATTCACTTAAAAATAATGAGAAAAAATATTTATTATGGAGAATGTGCTATATATATAGTTTACATGACGCAAAAAATAAGGAAAATAAAGTTTTATCATATATATTTCAACGTTTTCTTTGTTTAGTATATTAATTTATAACATACCAATCATTAAATATCACACACTATGTTAAAATTTTACAAAATGGATTTTCAAGTAATATATAGTTAGTAGAACGCTTGCAATCTCTTATTAAGAAAATGAGTTAATAATGTAAACGAATTTGTAAGTCAAGTGTTTTTAATCCCATCATTCCTACATTGGGATTTTAGGATACATCAAAAAGGCATTTGACATATATCTACATTGCACACATTCAATCAATTATATGCATTCCATACAGATATTCCTATATATATATTTTCACATTGTTGTCAATAATTGTTTCGTATATTAATTTATAACATACCAATCGTTAAATATCACACACTATGTTAAAATTTTACAAAATGAATTTTCAAGTAATATATAGTTAGTGGAACGCTTGCAATCTCTTATTAAGAAAATGAGTTAATAATGTAAATGAATTTGTAAGTCAAGTGTTTTTAATCCCATCATTCCTACATTGGGATTTTAGGATACATCAAAAAGGCATTTGACATATATCTACATTGCACACATTCAACCAAAAACTTCCATTAATCACATGCACATTAAAAAAGTAACATCTACAAATTTATGAACCTCAAGTAAATAAAATTTCTCAAAATAAAGAAATGGAACTCCGCTCCATTTATCCAAAGGAAGTTAAAAACAAATCAATACTCCTTGCTCCTTAACAATAACATGCGCCTCTGGATTAAAAATAAATAATTTGATACTAAGCTCCGAAAGAGTAAAGTATCAATGAAATATATCGAGAAATTTATCATGACATTCAATACGGGGTGTCTTGGAGCAATTAGAGGTCTTGGAGGTGGACTCCGCCTTTTGCTATTTTTAAATCTAGAAACCATTAGCCACATAAGAAAAAAAATTGGTAATACTATTTATATAAGTGTTAATGTATCGAGAAACTCTTCTGGAGATAAAAATATGAATGAAAATAAAAAATGAACTATGACAAATGTAATCACGAAGCTCCCAACTTGAAATATTAGTATTAAAAGAAAATTGGATATTTATTTAACATCAAATAAACTAACGTAATTGGATACTAATGGTCACTCATTTAAAAAAATTACATAACTTACAAAAACCATTAAAAATTGGATAATGAACATTGATCTCTCCTTCTCTCCCTCAACCTTCACGAGTGCATCTTAATAGAAAATCATGTACTTACCTTTTTACTATCTACATGTTTTTACGTAACCATCTAACACTATTTTTGAAAGCTATAAGTAAATTATAATAATAGTACAAACTATGATTACCTTATCAGGATTGTTTCTTGCAATCACTGAACCAACAACACCTCCCAAAGATCTACCAAAAACAATTATTCTAGATGTGTGTATATCGTCTCTTTTAGTAAGATGATCCAATGCTGCCTAGCCAAAAGGGGGAAACAAAACCACTAAAACTCACGAAAAGAACAACAACGTGGAATTAAATTGAGAGAAAAAGACCACAAAACATGTGGCCAAACCTGAGCATCCTTCATAATTCCATGCTGTGATGGATAACCATCACTTTCTCCATACCTATAGAATATCAACATTTGTGCCTCAGATCCCTGAAGGAATATGCTATGAGTAAAGAAAATCATGCACATCCTAGAAATATGCATAGCATCCAGATATAAGAAGTGACAACACAAAGCATATGGAATTTTACCCTCTATATGAAAGCATAAACACATTGCATTCCAGCCTTTGCAGCATCATGCGAATAAATTCAAGACAATGAGCAATATCTAAAGGATACTGGTAAAGGTCGTCAACAGAATGTATATCATCTGAAAAGTTGATAGAGTTGAGGAAAGGGAAAAAAAGGATACTGCCAGCATTTTTTTGAAAGAAGAGTATTGTTGGACCTACAGTAACAACAATAGAACTGTTATAAACTAACCACGTTGATGAGATGAATGGTTGTAACCTTTTTTTAATTATGATAGATATGAATGGTTTGATGACATTAATATTGGATTAGTGGAGGGGTTACAAAAATTAGAAGTTAATATTAGTGGACAATTAATAGGAGAG